ACACCATTGTGGATCAATCAAACTATAAGGTTTCTGTAGCTTCTGAAACAACAAAAACCAAAGCAACTTCCCTAAACTAAATGTGTTGCCCCCCCCCCCCCCACACACACACACAGACACACACTTTTTTGAGTCAGAGTCTCAGGTATCCCCAGCTGGCCTCTTTGTAGCTCAGAATGGCCCCGAAACCCTGATCCTCCTGCCTCCTCTCCAGGGCTGGCAATGTCCTGGGGGCTGGGGTGGGGGCACAACTCTCTAGCCAGGCTGTTCTGGCCGCTGTGCAGGGACCGGTGGCTGCTGTGCAGCTCTTCTTGGGGACACCTGCCTTGGACCTGAACTACATCCAGCAAAGTGGTCTAAGAATGCTTGGGGCATCAAAGTGGGTGTGTCGATTTCTTCTCCCTTCATGTGTATTACTTTTTTTTTTTAAAGATTTATTTATTATGTATATAATGTTCTGTCTGCATGTATGCCTGCAGGTCAGAAGAGGGCACCAGATCTCATTACAGATGGTTGTGAGCCACCATGTGGTTGCTGGGAATTGAACTCAGGACCTCTGGAAGAGCAGCCAGTGCTCTTAACCTTCTGAGCCATCTCTCCAGCCCCCTTTATGTGTATTACTGATCAACATCTGCCACGAGCATTTTTTTTTTACAACGAAAGAAAACTTTTCATTAAGTAACTATAATATCATCTCTTTGTTTTTGCTTCTTTTTTTTTTTTTTTTTTTGATTTGTTTGTTTTGTTTTGTTTTTGGTTTCTTGAGGAGGAGTTCCCTCTATTATGGAGCCCTGGCTGTCCGGGATCTCGCTCTATAGACCAGGCTGGCCTTGAACTCACAGAGATCCACCTGCCTCTACTTCCCGAGTGTGCGGATTAAAGGTGTGCACCCCTGTGCCCCATGTTTTTCTAGGTTGCACTGTCGCTGAACGTTGTCTGTTAAGGCCAGGTACAATAGTGCACACTTGTGGTTCCAGCTCCTTGGGTGGCTGACGCAAAGAGATTTCTGGAACCCAGGCATTCAGAGCTAATCTGGGCGACATAGCCAGACTCGGTATTTAACAGTAAAGTGCCCGCTTGGGCAGCACATATCCTAAAATAGAAAGAGTACAGAGAAGACTTGCATGGCCCCTGCCCAAGGATGACATGCAAATTTAAAGCCACTTGTATTTTTAAAAACTGGCCAAAGAAACCCAGCAGGAGAACACAGCAGTTAGAGCCCAAATCTCCTAAAGACAGTTAAGTAGTCCTAGCGGGGGATGGTAGGTAGGAGGAGCCGGCTCTACCTTCTAATAAAACTTTATACTCTGTTTTTAAAAGGACAAGTGTTGTAGAAACAATGTTTTAGTTGGAAACTCAGTTTAAAATAAACACATCTTTGCCGGGTGGTGGTGGCGCACACCTTTAATCCCAGCACTCGGGAGGCAGAGCCAGGCGGATCTCTGTGAGTTCGAGGCCAGCCTGGGCTACCAAGTGAGTTCCAGGAAAAGGCGCAAAGCTACACAGAGAAACCCTGTCTCGAAAAACCAAAAAAAAAAAAAAAAAAAAAAATTAATTAATTAAAAAAAATAAAATAAACACACCTTTGTTAACTTCCTCTCTCTGTTTTATTTATTTAGGCTTTTTTTTTTTTTTTTTTTTTTTTAAATAGGGTCTCACCATGTACCGCAGACTAGCCTGGAACTTGTCCCGCAGACCGGACTGTGTGTTAGCCCTCAGTGGCTCTGTTCTCTTGCCACTAGCACACTGGTTCATTCTTTGATAGACCAACCGGATTTTATTTGCAAGTGAAGCAATGGACTTTTAATATGATTATTTCAAGTTAGCAGTCCCGTTTATTTGTGCCCATGTATCGGAAGGCGAGCTGAATCATTGAAAAGTCATGTAGGAAGCATTTTGAGTCAAGGATGACTCCACTATGACTCACAGTGTGGGGAAAGAAACTGGTGTGCCTTGCGGAGTCTGGAAATGACCCTCCAGCCTCCGAGCAGAGCGCTGCAGTGTCGCCCTATGCTGACTGGCAGAGACTGGCAGTCTTCAGCATTTCACAACTGTCTGGGTCCCTGGGGCTCAGAACGGGGAGGGCTCCATGGACGGTGGGGGGGTGGTGGGGTGGTGGGGGGAGGAGGCTGCCTGCGTCCAGGAGGCCACCTGTCAGCCCCAGCCCCGCCTTGTCCTGGAGGTGGAGTGTCCCCGTGCCCGCCCCACCCCTACCCCCCCTCCCCCGCCTGTTTTCCTAGCCTCAAGTCTGCGGGGACGCAGTCCAGAGCTGTGGCTGAACGCAGGCCAAGGGTGAGGGCCTAGATTTGACCCTAAGCGAGAAGTTAAAGGAAGGGGCTGCCTCTCCTCTTTCCGACCCCCTTTCTCTCCGTGTCCTGGCTGCCTCAGGGACGTGGAGAGAGCCTTTGGCCCGCGCCTTTCCCACTGGGCTCAGACTTGGTGGGCCCTGGGAGAGAACTCTGTGGTCACCCAACCTTCACGTCCCATTCACCTGACACACTTGCGTTGTTAGAGAATACAGAGGTGTAATTTTAAAACCACGTATTTTCATTCTTACTTGATGTGTATGTGTGTTTGCTTGGACGTATGAATGCAGTACCTGCAGCGGTGTGGCGCCCCTGTGGATCCACATGCGGGTGCTGGGAAGGGAATGCTAGTCCTCCGCAAGAGCAGCATCTCTGCAGCCCTCTTTACTGATTCTGTCCTTCAGATGAGAAGGGTCCTGTAGGCTGGGCATGCGGGCAAGCGGAGGTGGCAATGAGAAGTCACTCACAGCTGGGCATGGTGGCACACACCTGCAGTCCCAGGCCTGGGAAGGTAGAGGCAGGGGGACCTCAAGATTGAAGCAGCTTGTGCTACATAGAAAAAACCCTATCTGGACAACGACAAAGAAACCCCTGGATTTGAGGCAGACCCAGGCTGCCTATTACTATGTGATGACCCGGGAGATGCTACTGATCACTCTGAGCATCAGGCCCTTATTTGAAAAATGAGGCTCCCACCTGGCTTCCTGACTTGTGGAGGGTTAAAACAAGATCATGTGGTGTGAAAAACACTTGCTCCTCAGGATACCTGCTTTGTATCTAGTCTGTCATGTCCCTATTCTGTCTCACTACTTACACATTGTCCCTTCACAGGCTAGACTCCAACATTCAGCACCTAAGTCTGAATTTGGAAAAATGTTGACTCTGACTCTCTAGATGGAGCAGAGGGAACATTACTGCATGTAAACATCCTTTAAAAAACAACAAAACAAAACAAAGAGAAACAATAGGCACTTATACCAGCTGGAGGCAAATCACAATGGTCAGTGCAAGGGTAAAACTGGATGCTAGATTGCTCACCGGCTAAGAGCAACTGCTGTTCTTGCAGAGGACCAGACTCCAACTCTCAGCACCACAATCAACAGCCTGTAACTGTGGCTTCAGGGCGTCCAATGCCCTCTTCTGTTGCCTGCAGATGCTGCACACATCCACACAAATAAAATAATCGGGGCTGGAGAGATGGCTCAGCAGTTAGAAGCACACACATTCATTGGCTAACAACTGCCTGTAACTCTTGCTCTGAGGGACCGGATGCCTCTGGTCCCTGCAGGCAGGTGCACATACCAACCACCCCTTCTTCACGTAATTAAAAATAAAATAACGATTTAAAAAGTGAATAATGTGAAAAATCCTGGGCTGAACAGTGTGCCTGCCCTAGGACCTCAGATGACCACTTCTAAATGTGCAGTTGTGGTTTCCAGCCATGACTGTGTGTCTAAATTACCTGGTGATTTTTCCTCCCAAAAATAGCGAGGTAACTTTATTTGGATTGAAATAGTCAAGATAGTAATAGAGCGGTGGTTCTCAACCTTCCTAATGCTGCGACCCTTTAATACAGTTTCTCATGTTGTGGGGACCCTAACCATAACATTATTTCATTGCTACGTCATACCTGTAATTTTGCTACTGTTATAAATCATAATGTAAATATCTGTGTTTTCTGATGGTCTTAGGGCAACCCCTGTGAAAGGGTCATTCTGTCCCACAGAGGTCGAGACCCACAGGTTGAGAACTACTGCTATAGATTATAGAGGGATACACTACCAAGGCTGACAGTGAGCCACATGAGCTAGAGTTCCCAGACACCCCTCCCCCCATTTTTGAGACAAGGTAGCCCAGGCTGGTCTTGAACTCTATGTAACAGAGATAACCTTGAACTCCTGGTCCTCCTGCCTCCACCTCCTCAGTGCTGGGCCTCTAGCCATGTGCCACCATGCCCCACACATAAATTTAAATATATGTATTTTCTCTAGCTTCACAACCAAGTTTTAAGTGTGAAATCTCACAACTGGGAGGCAGTGGCTGTATCAGTAAAACATACACACACAGACACAGACACACAGACACAGAGAGAGAGAGACACATACACACACACAGACACACACAACACACAGACACACACACACAGACACACACACACAGACACACACACACAGACACACACACACAGACACACACAGAGAGAGACACACACACACACAGACACACACAGAAACACACAACACACACACACAGACACACACACACACACACACACAGAGACACACACACACACACACACACACACACACACACACACACACACACACAGAGCCTAATTCTGAAGCTCGGAGGAGGAGAACAGAGATATGCTGGGGAAGAGTCTCAGCCACCGGGGAGAACTTCACTGCTACGTGTATTCTCCAGGGAAAGCCGAGTGGCAGGGCTCTAAAGTTGAAGTAGGGGGACGCCCGGGCTGCTGGCTGTCCGTTGCGTTGGTACACTCTGGCACCAGCGGTTTCACAGAAAGCTCCAGGCCAATGACTGCACAGGGAGGACCTTCCATGAAGGGAGGTGATTGTCAAAACCGATGCAACTGGTGGGGTAGCTCAGTGGTAGAGCCCTGGTGCACGCGACCCGTCATCACAACACAACAAAACCAACCAACCAAACACCAGCTAACTGAACAGAGCTAAATGACGGTTTTTCCTGGCAAAGCATTTATTGAAAGTAACATTCAGAGTTAAGCCATCTTCTGGAAGGCACGCAGCTACACTGGCCCATGCAAGAGAGCCAGCAATTTATAAGATTCCAATACAATACGGATTGCCAAGTCACCTGCTTTACAGTCTCTTAAATATTTTAGAAAGTTAAAACAATGTATTAATTGATATTTAAAATGTCAAACCCTCCTGACAACATATGGAACAGCTAAGAACTTGACATAACGAAGCCCGTCTCAATGATCCGTTGACAGCGTAGTCTTCAAAAACAGAAATAAGATTGTGAACTACATGACGCAGCCCGGGTCCAGGGTCCTCATGGGCGATTGTTATACTAGGAGTCAAACCACCCTTTCCGTAGGAAAGGGCATATTTCAAGACGGCAATCGCCGTGTGGGCATTTATTTTGATTTATGAACTATATCAGAAATCCTTTAGCCAAACCACCCTGAAATGCCACAGCTGATTCCTCACCTGCAGTTTTCTCTTCCTCCAGTAGATGGCAGTAGCACACCACCTTTCATCACAAAGGTTCCGCCAAGAAGTGAGGTTAAATTGCGGGGAAGGCTCACACACCTCGGGTCAGGTTTCTCCAAGGCCAGGTTAGTGGGATGTAAGAAGCGGCCAGGAGAATAAAGAAGAGGGCGTTCTAAGGGGTGTAAGGTTAAATCGGTGCTGGCTGTAGAAGATAGAAAGATGAACAGCGGATGTGGGCTCCAGGGAAGGGATCAGTGAAGTCCTAAGTATCAAAAGCACGTCCAGGAGACATGAAAATCTAGAACGCGCTGGTTTCTTCTTGACAGTGGTAAGGAAAAATAAGGCCTTAGCTTGTGACTGAAAAGAGCATGTTAGCAGAAGGGACAGACTCATTTAACAAGCAACTAAAGAAGGTCTCACAGTTCTTCCTCTGAATTAAATGTTCAGATCTATCCAACAGCAAAGGCTAGTTGCTGAGTGGTTAACACTGGTGAATAATCCAAATAACAAGCAAGGGCTATTACAGTAGGGTCTGTCTTGAGAACAGGCCGCTTTCTCTAACAGGCTCTGGGCCCCAGCTCCCCTCCGTGTGCAGAGGCCAGCCACCAAAGTCCAATACAGCAGAACAGACTTTAAACGGCCCAGAGTAAAGGCTGTTCTTACAGGTGCCTATTAAAGCACTCTGAATAACCTGAAAGGACACTTGTGCATTTATCATCACTGGCCTTTGTGAATACACACTAAAGTTCTCCCATTGTTTTATTCCTATTTTTCAAGTTTTTAAAAAGAGTTTAGCCGGGCGGTGGTGGTGCACGCCTTTAATCCCAGCACTCGGGAGGCAGAGGCAGGCGGATCTCTGTGAGTTCGAGGCCAACCTGGTCTACAGAGCGAGATCCAGGAAAGGCGCAAAGCTACACAGAGAAACCCTGTCTCGAAAACCCCAAAAAAAAAAAAAAAAAAAAAAAAGAGTTTATGTGCATAAGTGTTTTACTTGTATATATGTCTGTGCACCATGTGCGTGCTTGGTGCCCTCAGAGGCCAGAAGAGGGCATCAGATCCCCTGGAACCGGGCAGCACGAGTGTGCTGGGAACTGAACAAGGGGCCTCGGCAAAAGGCAGCAGACGCTTTCAGGCTCTGAGCCATTTCTCCAGCCCTGAAGTGTAGCCACCCACCTCTGCCTCTTCAGCGTCCTCCTGGCCTGCACCAATTCCTACGTAAATACGCAGACCCAGTGGTTAAAATATAGCCCGACAGAAACCACTGGAAATAGAAATGCCATTTGCCTTTCTGTTTTCTTTCTGGAGACCCTCTCACTCTGTGGCCCAGGCTGGTTTTGAACTCTTGCCTCCAGCTCCTGGGTAGCTAGCTGGATTACATGGGGCCCTCTGTTCTCAGGGGCCCCTCTCTAAGGAACAGAGCAGCTTTTTACAAGTACGTTCTTTTAAAGGAGAAACAGCGGACAGCTCTACAGATGTTTACTTCAAGGCATCCTGAGGGTTTACCAAAAGACAATCTTTCTAGAAAAAAATTTCTGGGAGACTCGATCAGCTCACAGGAATGAAGATGACAGGGAGATACTTTATCAGGGGGAAAGGAAGGAGGCCCAAGTGTGTGGAGCTCAGAGGACAAGCCTCAGGGCTCCAGAGCAACTGGGCCAGGCTCCCGTGTGAGCGGTTAGGACACCCGCTGGGTCTAATTGTTTTTAGAACCTAGGGTTCTCTCTGCCACCCGCCCAGCTGTGAGCTCCCTGGCTTCCGTCAGCTTGTGTCACAGCCGAAGAAGAAAATAGCAGCTTTAACCCACTCCCTCACTGGCCTTCCCCCTAACCGACGATATTTTTGCTTTGGACAGCCCCCCTCTCCCCTACTGTGAAGACTGGACTATATATAAACCTGTCTCCCCCCAGCTTCCAAACACGTAAGGGAGGGTGAACACCTGGGCGTGCGGCAGAGCCCAGGAGACACTGCCGCGCCAGGCCGGCATTCATCAGAGTCGCTGGGTGGTGGACCCCAAATCCTTCCACACACAGCAACACTTTATAATGCTCTTACCATTCATTAAAGACGACAGCTCGATTTCCTTTGAAGACTAAGGAAAGCTAAGCAAAAAATAAGTCTCTGTGGCTAGAATGATGAGCTAAAAATAGGTTTAACACAGTGAACAATACACACATACAAGATAATAAATGATAATAAACATCTGCTGAATGGAATTGGAACTCTAGCTACTGAACATTTAAAATGAACACCCCTGCACTACAAGCAATCGCCAGTAATGTGAGAACAGCCTTTGTGAAGATCACGGTGCTCCATTGAGAAAATCCCTTCAACTTTTTAAAACAAAAAGAGAATCACACAACCTTTTGGCTAACATTTTCACTGAACCAGGAGCAAAAGTCTTCCTATGTTTCAGTCACGACAGCCAAGTGACGGGTGTTTTCCTAAGAAGTCTGACCAGGTTAATACTTCTTGTGCATCTGAAAGAAGCTACAAAGGTTCACTTTCCACCGAGGGTGGTCAGTGCATTGCCTTGGGAACAGTCCTGAGACCCATTTTACAAACCTGAGCAAGAAACGTCCATCCAGTTCTGGTCCGGCCCATTCCCCACAGCGCCGGCTCATGGCATGCCACTCCGATGGGATTTTCCACAATAGAGAAATCACAAGGATAAAAATACAATGATGGAGTGTCTTAGAGAGCAGCAGAGATGACTTCAGTCCTTTCAAAATGTTTCTGTAGGCACAAATTGGTTTGTTCTGCACATATGGGGAAATCTTCCCACCAGTGACTTGGTTCCTACAACTGGATCCCAATTTTCTTGTAAAAAATTTACTAAAAATACAGAGCAAATCTAATTTTAGAAAGAAAACTTAAAGATGATTCTGTGCAACTAAAATCCACAAAGAGAAAACAAAAGATGTCTGAATTATGTAATCATCCAATAACAAAATGGTTGTTGAGCTCTGTACAGTTTTTTTTTTTAAACCGGAAACCAAATCTTTGGAGTACACTTAATAATAACCAGAATTTCACAAAGGATGTCATTACTCGATTATATTGGTAACACTTTAATCTGGGATCTTCCATCTAATTATTGCTTGTATTACTGATTTGCTGGAAGCGGATATCCAGAGAGACCGAGAAAGCAAATACTTTTCTTAGGAAGGCCAACCAGCCAAATAATCCTCTGCACAGTCCTTAAGTTGTGAATGTGTGTGAAGGCCACAGCTGCATCAGAACATGGAGAAAGACAGCTTTCCTGCCCATTGTTCCGTTTCCCACTGTCCATTCACCTTCCCACGAGGGGCTCACTGCAGGATCTTCCAGTCCACGTGGCCACCAGCAAAGGCCGAGGGGTTTTCAGATGCTCAGGGGCCAGGCACTCCAGAGAACAGCACTGAGGGACAAGTCAGTGCTCCTGAACTTTAGATCTACCCCAGACAGACCTCCTGCTTCGATGGGCGAAGGCAACAGGCAAGCGATACTTTCTTAGAGTGTAGCTACTTGGCAGGAAGAGAAAGAACAGGTCAGACCACGTGTCCTGGATTTAGGACCAAAGACTGCTTGACTTCTAGACGCCCGACTCCCGGTCTGCAGCAGCAGAGTCCTGTCCACGTGTTGCTGGTGGGTGCCAACGCCCTCGAAGGTGCCTGGGCTCTGGCTGGCTAAAGTTTAGTGAAGCTTGTGCACAGGGTGGAGTAGGGTCATGTGCTCTGCCCCTTTGAAGGGCAACTTTGCGCTGGAATAATAGTGTACCACTTCAGGGATGCTGTCAAACACGGCGCTCGTCTGATCCAGTGTGTATCTGTTGTCTTTTGTCTGAGCGACTATGATGTGGACACACCCTTGACTAGTCCTGGAGGGGAAAAACAAGAAGACATGAATGAGTGAGCCGAGTGTCCATCCCCACTGGAAACCGTCCCAGCCAGACTCACAAGAGGTGGATGGGCCCTCTTCCTGTCCTGCAACCGCTCTCCATACACAGAAAGGCATTCAGCAAGCTGATGGAGTGTCTGGAAGTTTCTAAATGCCTGGCACCCTCAACTTGTTTATCATTACTACACACCAGTGGTCGGGACTGGAGGGGAACAGTCAAATAAATCCCTTCTACTGCCCAAACAGTAGGACTAGTGAATGAGCCTGAGCCTGCAGCCGCCACTGTACCGTTCATACTGAACCCCTCTCCACTGCTAAAGACATGTGAGGTTTCTTCTCCTTTATTTCCCCCAAAGGAACACATTAATAATAATAACAACAATAACTGCCCATTTGGCCCCTGCCCTCACGAGGAAAGACCAGTCCTGGCTGCACATAATGACAGCTGGTACCAAAGGCTCAAGGATTTAATCCCCAAACACTGCTTTCAGGAGCACAGTGGCTGTTCCTGGTATTGTCTACGCGGCCTGCCCCATTTTCTGAGCCGTATTGCGCTCGTGCCCCTCCCCCACCCTTCCCTTCCAGTCTGATTGTTTCAGCTGCAGGGGCTCAGCTTCCTCAGGAAGGAAGTGCTGCTGGGGCTCTTGACAATGATCCTCCAATATAGTGCCACCAAATTCACCGAGCAATGAGAATTTCCATGAGACACATTCTGGCAAGCCCACCAGGCCAAAGTGAGTTTTCTGCGTACAATTAGTCAGAGGGAGCAACAGGCAACTCCGCATCTCCTTCTGCACCAGAAGAGGCTGGTATCAAGTGCAGCTGGCATTCTGACAATCAGGGATTCGATATTCATTAAGGTCCCTCATACTGGGGAATAAACCAAAACCAACCGGCTCTGGGCATGTTGGCACAAGCCTGAGATTCTTTCACTGGGGAAACAGAGGCAGGAGACCACTAAATTCTAGACAAACCCACACAGTGAGACCCGTCTCCAAAGAAAAAAGGAGTGCCAGGCAAGGTGGCACATAACATTTAATCCCAGTACTCAGGAGGCAGAGGCAGGAGGATCTCAGTGAGTTTGAGGCCAGCCTGGTCTACAAATCAAGTTCCAAGACAGCCCGGGCTACACAGAGAAACCCTGTCTCAAAAAAAGAAAAGAAGGCCGGGCGGTGGTGGCGCACGCCTTTAATCCCAGCACTCGGGAGGCAGAGCCAGGCGGATCTCTGTGAGTTCGAGGCCAGCCTGGGCTACCAAGTGAGTTCCAGGAAAGGCACAAAGCTACACAGAGAAACCCTGTCTCGAAAAACCAAAAAAAAAAAAAAAAAAGAAAAGAAAAGAAAGAATTGGTGTGTGTGTGTGTGTGTGTGTGTGTGTGTGTGTGTGTGTGTGTGTGTTTGCCAGAGATATGGTTAACAGCACTTACTGCTCTTGCAGAGGACCTGAGTTCAGTTCCCAGCACCCACATGGAGGCTCACAACTATCTGTAACTCCAGTTCCTGGGAATCTGATGCCCTCTTCTGGCCTCCATGGGTACCAGGCATGCACATGGGGCACAGATATACATGAAGGCAAATACTCGTTAACATAAAAGTTTTTAAAATTAAAAAACAAAAAACCACAGAAGAGATTGAACTGCACTGTCTTTTTAATTTTTATTGACTTATTGACTTATTTTTCTGCTGTTGGACAAACTTTGGGCTTGTGTGTGCTGGCAAGTACTCTACCACTGCATTGCACCCCAACCCCAGACACTATTCTTTTTTTTTTAATTATTATTATTTATTTTATATGTTAATCGTGTTTTGCCTATATACATGTCTGTGCACCATGTGCATGCCTAGTACCTACAGAGGCCAGAGAGGGCACTGGACTCCTGGGAACTGGAGTTACAGACAGTTGTGAACTGCCATGTGGGTGCTGGGAATTGAACCTGGGCCCTGTGGAAGAGCAGCCAATGTTCTTAACTACTGAGCAATTTCTCCAGCCTTGGCACTTTTTTTTAAAATTTGTTTTTGTTTTCTTGTTTTTCGAGACAGGGTTTCTCCGTGTATCCCTGGCTGTCCTGGAACTCACTCTGTAGACCAGGCTGGCCTTGAACTCACAGAGACCCACCTGCCTCTGCTACCTGAATGCTGGAATTAAAGGCCTGGGCCACCATGCCCAGCTTCACTTTTTTTTTTTTTTTAAATCAGGAATTATTTCTCTTCTAAGAGGCCTTAGATCTGATGACATAAGGTAGAAACCGATAATGTTCAATGATGAAAACAGGAGCGTCACGACTGTAACAGACGCTGGGGTTTTACCCAGCGTCAGTTCTGATCAGCGTCTCACCATCTGCTGTCCAAGTAAACGCCTTTCGTGTTCTGGTGATACGCACCCTGTGACCACCTTCAAATGATACCTGTTTTGACTGCCACCTACCCCAGGGAGGAAAGACTGTACAGCACACCCTTGCCTTCAGACAAGGATGCTCGCGGGGTGAGGACACTTACTTCAGTGCGATGGAGTACCTGCTGTTGCCTGACTCACTGTTTCGGACCAGGTAACCAGCCTCTTTGCAGGGCTGGAGTCGGCTCTCGGCCTCAGCTCGGGTAATGGTGCCATGATACCAACTGAACAGAGGCAGAGAAGAAACAGTGTCACAGTGCAAACCCAGACTGAGCTTACACCCCACTGCAAGCACCACTGAAAACCCCCCCACGAGGCACGGTTTGTACGGAGCTTCTGAAGATGCTCAGCAGCCTCGGCGGACCCTGTTTCACATGTAGAACAGACACGATGCAGATTCCAGTGGTCCCCATCACAAAGCCTTTCAGTCATACACAGCCAAGTCAAGGAGGGTGGTGTCGCTTGAAACATTTCCCTCTAGGCCTGGAGGGATGGCTCAGTGGGTAAGAGCACTTGCTACTCTTGCAGAGGACCCAAGTTCAGTTCCTAACATTCACACGGTGGCTCATAACCATCCACAACTCCAGTTCCGGGGTACTCAATGCCCCTTTCTAGCCTCTTCGGGTATCAGGATGTACATGGTTCACACACACACACACACACACACACACACACACACACACACACACACACGCAGGCAATAAAATAAAGCAAGCTTCCCCTCTGTATGAAGGAGGCTTAAGCAGCCTTCTCGGGGTACAGGCCCTTCTAACCTGAACAAACGCACCATGCTTGGAAGTTCCACCACGCAAGAATTCATACATGAAAGGGATGGCCCCAAATGGGCCAGGGGGCCCCACATGAGGCTGTGACAGAGTCACGGAGGGAGACTCACGGCTGCTTCTCCAGGGCCAGGCCCGGGTCCACCTTCTCCCTGTCACTGTGGTCTGACAGGGTTGGCTTCAAGGTCTTCTGCCAGTGGTGTGCCGCTCTGCCAGTCTCCTCTTTGCTGGGAGGTCGATCGGATCCCTCAAACTGGACTGGAAGGAAGATGTCACTCAGTACCAGAGACCACAGAGGCTAGCCATGTGACCTCAGAGGGGAAAACCTCATGCCTACGTTTGCCCAGGGAAGAAACATTCCTTCCTTAAACGTAAGCTCCACTGTGCAGCAGCGTCCCTAGACAGGCATGCCCCTGCTGTCATGGGCATCTGACTACAATGCTACTGTCCCTATGGGACCACTTTCCTTGAGGTGACTCATCAGTTTAAAACAGTTTGGGAACACAAAGAGGAGACTCACGTGCAGCATGGACTTTTATCCTAAAAATGCTTTAAAAGGTTTTTTTTTTTTTAAAGATTAAACAAATTTCAAGTGTGACCCTAGAGCATTCTGCCCTGAATGGGACATCTGTTTCTCACCCTATCCTCAAGGTCCAGGGACCTGCGCAGAAGAGAGGCAGGAACATCATCAGAGCCACATGTGGTAGATGATTTCAACGAAACAGCATTTGGCAGACACACATGAACTCAGAGGCCATGACAGCTCACACAAACCTGCACAAGCCCAAGCCCGACAGAATCCCAGCCAGAAGGAGAGGACGCGGGCACAGAGTCCCACCCCTAGCCAAGAAACTATTCACAAATGACAGCTGCTAGGACAGGGAAACCAGTTTTCTTCCACCACACCCCAGAACGGACACCACGTCAGCTCAGGAGCAGTTAGGCAACACCAACAGGACTCCACGGTTCTCAGTGGCTTTCCCCCCTTTCTTTCCTTTTCAGAGAGAAGTCGTGTGGGCGAAGGGGGTAAGATCAGAGAGGAGCTGGAGGATAGCAAAGCATATGATAAAAATACACTGTATGAAAGTCTCAGAGAATAATTGTTTTTCAAAGGACTTAAACATACAGTTAGTGAAATGTAGTGAGTCTACCTCTTTCTATAGAATCAGTGGCAACTTTCACTACGAAATAATAAAGCAAAAAAGACAAAACACTCAGAACAAAGCCATGACATGAGACCTTAGAGCTGCGGAGACACCCAGGACCCCGCAGAGGCACTTCGTATTGGCTTTGCTTTTTTTTTTTTTTTTTTCAGACAAGCTCTCATACAGCCTAGGATGGCCTAGAACTTGCCACGCTCCTGCTTCTGTGTAGGAAGTGCTGGGATTACAGGCATGCACCACCAAGTAGTATGCTGGTTCCACTTCAAATTTGATTTACTGTTAAGGGGAAAAGATACCTTGAAAATTCTAAATCAAAGGCCAAACAAATTCTGTGAAAGCCAAATGGAAAAATTATGTATGAGGAGCAGCAGTTACAGATGGTTGTGAGCCTCCATGTGGGTGCTGGGAACTGAACCCAGGTCCTCTGCAAGAGCAGTCAGTGCTCTTAACCACTGAGTCATCTCTCCAGCCCACACTCCCACCCCTTTCTCCTTGTTTTGCTTTAGGACAGCTTATCAACTTTCCCTTAAATTACTTAGAAACCCTCACACAAGCAAAGCGTGGCGGTATCCCAGCTACCTGAGAGGCTGAGCCCAGGAGTTTGAGATCAGCCTGGGCTAACTAAATAGGAGATGCTTTCCCTGGCCTCTGCAGCAAAAGATCCACATTTGAAGACATGACTCTACCTTCAATCTAGGTTTTACTTTGGAATATCTTTCTAGAGGAATCAATCTGTAGCTGGAATTGTGGCATATGCCTCTAACACCCTCACTAAGGAAACTGAGGCACGCAGAAAATAAGTGACAAGAAAACCCATCCAGTTTTCTCTCTAGTTTTTGGCCATTAACCTGTCTCACCCAGACCTGCTATTTCCCAGTGAGCAGCTCACAGGCTTGAAGAGGCCACAACCTAGAGAAGCTGTTTCCAATTGGATAGCTTCGGTGATGGGAAACCAACGCAAAGTGATCAAGGGGGCTTTTCAAACAGCCCCTGAAGGCATCTCCACAGCTACATGCAGAAAGAGAAGGAAACAAGTAGTTTTTTTTTTTTTTTTTTTTGGCTTTTCGAGACAGGGTTTCTCTGTGCAGCTTTGCGCCTTTCCTGGGACTCACTTGGTAGCCCAGGCTGGCCTCGAACTCACAGAGATCTGCCTGGCTCTGCCTCCCGAGTGCTGGGATTAAAGGCATGCGCCACCACCGCCCGGCCTGAAACAAGTAGTTTTAAGGGCACGATTTTGGCCTGGTTGTCGTTCTGATCACACAGAGTACTGGAGAGCTCAGACTAGCCTTGAACTCCTGATTTTCCTGCCTTCCAAGTCCTGGCAATACAGGCATAATCCGGGCCTCATCCGTAGCTAGATTCTTATTTCTCTACCTCAAAAGCCCTCTTAGAAAAGAGACTTGTGGGATGGCAAGACGGCTCAGGGGTGAAGGTGCCTGCAACCAAACCTCACAGCCTGGGTTCGATTCCTGGGGCCTACATGACGGAAGGAGAGACCAACTCCCTCAGGCTGTCTTCTGGTCTACCATGCTACACTCATTCCCACTTATAAACAAACAAATAATCAAACGAACAGATGTAATAAAAATGAGAGACTTGCCAGTCAGGAAACAAAGAAAATGACGCAGCCTTTAAAGTCATTATGAAACGTCCATCTCTCTCAGTACCCTCTGCAATGGGTCATCAGAGCTGATGCTCCTCTGGAACCGGGCATGGGAGACCAGCCGCTCCCCTCCTCCTCCTCCCCTCCCTTAGCCTCTAGTATCCAGAACTCTGCCCTGGATTTCTGAGGACTTTTTCAGAGTGTCCACCTGAGTGAACTCATGCTAGGTGATGGGTACGTATGTTCACCACCTGCGCTTGGCCATTATTCAACATACACATGTGCTGAGGGGCACACTGTGGGTGAGCCTGGACCATTGTGTGAGTCAGCTCTGAGAAGTCGGAAGTGTTGGGACGAGAGGGCCCTGAGTGGCAGGTGCTGCACCCTCACCTGACAGGGCCCGTGCGATCTGCTCCCTCTTCCATTCCCAGGGCTGCTCATACTCAGCGGCAGGTCGATCATCCTCCTCTGGCAGTCTGCCGTCTGCTGGCCGGGCCTTCACCTCTGCCACCCGTTGGCCACCCTCCGAGGGCTCGTAGGGGGTGTCATAGAGTTGTGGTGGCTTCCCCAACAGGTCCTTGGAGCTGCGTCTCTTGGCTGTGGCCTCCACCTTCATGCTCTCCCCTGGCTCACACGGGCCGTCGAGCAGCTGGAGAGCCTTCACCAGGGGGTCTTTGGAACCACGACGTCTGATTTCTGAAAATCAGGCATACAGGTCACACAGAGCACCTCAATGGACATGGACAGGTGTCATAAGGCCTGTGGGTAACCCCATTACCTTCGGCTAAGGCAGTAGAATGCTCTAAAACTGTTCTGGGCTGGGCTGGCAACTCTCCGGCCACGCTGCAGAAGCCAGAGGAAGGCACCAGAGCTTTCCCGGCTACTGCACAACATGCACATGAACTGAACTATCACACCATCCCCAGACAGTCTGCACAGCTGCCGAGAGTCAATTCTAGAGACAGGTTTAAGAAGAACGCCTCGGCACAGCCCAGTGGGCCCAGCCTAAGAGGAGGGTTGATGCCTGCAGGCAGCAGTCTCCAGGTTCCCTGTCAGGGTGGTGGAGAGGGGGCCTCTGCAGAGCAGTTTCACTTCCTGCCCTAGTGTCTGCTCTGAGTAAAGTTTTCCTTCAGTTCTTACACTTCTTGCTAGGAAGCCCAGATGAAAGTATTTGAAGGAAAACCAGCTGTTTGTGGTATTGAAAGCATTGCTCACAACACACCAGGAAAGCTATTCGCCTTAGTCAGGTTTATGTTTATTTTGAGACAGGGGTTCTCTGTGTAGCCCAGGCTGTCCTGAAACTCACTCTGTAGACCAGGCTGGCCTGAAACTCACTTTGTCAACCAGGCTGGCCTTGAACTCAGAGACCCACCTGCCTCTGCCTCCTGAGTGCTGGGATTAAAGGCGTGCGCCACCATGCCTGGCTTCCATCCTGGTTCTTAAGATACAGACACTTTCAGGGTAGTGGAAGGCAGACACATTCACAAAGCATACCGAAGGATAAATCCAAGTAAAAGGTGTTACGATAGAAAACAAACTAACCTCTCCATAACACCTGCCCCGGCAGCGGGCGCTGTTCTCAGTGCGGTACCGCTCACAGCCAGTCTGTGAGGTACACAGGACGGTGTCCCCATGTTAAAGAGAACCGAAGCACAAAGAACTTGAGGAAATGACCCAGACCAGTACGTGGCAGGGCCCGGGGTGGGAAGCAGGAAGCGGGGCGCTAGAAGCCTTCCTCTTTGACACACACTTGGATGGACTCCAAGTGGAAGAAAAATGGAAGATGAGCTGACTCTGATGGAGAAGGTCACTTCCAGCGGAGGAAGCTTCATGAATGAAGATAGGGAGCTGGGAAACATGAGGGGTGCCTGCCATCCCGGGGGACCGAGAGGAAAGCTTCAAAGGCAGAAGTCCAGAGAAAAGGAGGCGATTTGGGAGAAGATCTCAGCTGGAGAAGGGGAAAGCCCAGAGACATAAATGTTGGGTGTTTGTTAGTTTTGTTGCCATCTTTTAAAAAAAGATTTACTTACGTATGTATACAAGTGCCTCGTCTGCATGAAAGCCTGCACACCAGAAGAGGGCATTGAATCGTGAGTCGCCATGTGGGTGCTGGGAATTGAACTCAGGACCTCTGGAAGAGCAGCCAACTGCTCTTATCCGCTGACTCATCCCTCCAGCTCTGTTATCTTTCTTTTTTTTTTAAAAAAATAAAAGTTTCAAGATTTATTTATTTTTAATTATGTGTGTGTTTCTGCAGAAACCAGAGGATGGTGCCAGATCCCCTGGAGCTCCAGTTACAGACAGTTCTGAGCCAATGAACTTGGGTTCTGGGAACCCAACTCTGGTCTTCTGCCAGAGCAGTAAGTGTTCTTAGTCACTGAGCCGTCTCTCCAGCCCTGTCTTTGCTGCTTTTTAAGACAGGGTGCCGTGTAGGCCAGGCCATCCTGGAGATTGTGACGTAGAGAAGGATGGTCTTGAACTCCAGGACTTTCCTGCCTCAGCCTCCCCAGAGCTAGGGTTACACTTGTTTGCAACTCATCCGGAAGCGAGGTTTCTTTCAAAAGGAAGAATAAGAAGTTTGGATTGTGCTGTGTACAGTGCAAATCCATTTAAAGCTTTTTTTCCCCGAGACAGGATTTCTTTGTGTAACAGCTCTGGCTCTCCTGGAACTCACTCTGTAGCCCAGGCTGGCCTCGAACTCACAGAGATCCGCCTGCCTCTGCCTCCCAAGTGCTGGGATTAAAGGCCTGTGCCACCATGCCTGGCCATTTAAAAATCTTAAAAACAGCCAGGCGGTGGTGGCGCACGCCTTTAATCCCAGCACTCGGGAGGCAGAGCCAGGCAGATCTCTGTGAGTTCGAGGCCAGCCTGGACTACCAAGTGAGTTCCAGGAAAGGCGCAAAGCTACACAGAGAAACCCTGTCTTGAAAAACAAAAACAAAAACAAAAAAAATCTTAAAAACAGGCAATTATAGCTGTGAGTCACTTTACGGTAACTCTAACAGCAGTGTATCGGATGAAGTGATAAATATCTGGCCTGAACTGATGCGCAGTAGTGTACAGTGAAACCCTGATATAAACCAGCCAATTAACAGTTAAACAGCTAGTCACTGTAGGGCAGGGTCAGTAGTGTCTGGAGATTGACCAGTCTGGGCCTAGGGGTCTTAGCAGGTCGCCCTAACCAAATGGAATCTCTGAAGATTCCTACATATTACACTTAGGTCTATCAGCATCTGTGGTCTTTTAGTCCATTGGAATCTAATTTGGCATCTCCTCTTGGAAAAGCCTCTCCTGCCCAGCTGGTCCTCTGCTGTCCTTCAGAGCTCACCAGCTGCCATGGTGTCCTGGCCCATTCTTGCCTTGTGTGTTTACTATGGTGTGCTTAGTTTTCGACATACGTGTTTCCAACTGGGTAGAGACGGCCAGGGCAGGGACCACCACACCTCACTTACGTCGGCAGGACACACACTGTGTCATGATGGGATGCGATGGGATGTCCAGGCACAGGACAATGTGGATCTGCAAGAGTGTGCAAGGAGATTTGTGCCACGGATAGCTGTTACTACTGTGAGAATAAAAGCAACTGCTGGAGAAGAGGACAGCCATTGGAAAGGATGGAGAGCCCAGGGCGGGCTCTGGACAAGGGGTTCTGAGTAAGCGTGGCTGACGGAGCAAGGAAGGGTTAGAAGGATGGCGAGGCAGGCAGCAAAAGGACCAAATGAGCCTGCAGGACTTCCTACAGAGGAGGACAAATGGACAAAACGATGTTCCCTGGACAGTCACTGACCCAGTAAGAGCTCTAGTCAAAGAAAGGACGACAGATGGAAAAAGCTATTCAAGGAAGGCCACTAATTAAAAAGGGCAAACTTTAGCCAGGCAGTGGTGGTGCACGCCTTTAGTCTCAGCACTCAGGAGGCAGAGGTAGGCGGATCTCTGTGTCCCAGGCCACACAAAGAGTTCTAGACTAGTGAGGGATATATGTGTGTGTGTGCATGTATATATATATATATAGTGTATGTATGTGTGTATGTATGTATGTATGTGTGTGGTATGTGTGATGACTTTATTTCTAGAGTGAGGTTCTGGATCTGTGGAATTCAGGACCCTGTCAGCAACCACCCCTGTGCCTCCAATCCCATGCAAGTCTACGCTCACTGGAATTACCTGGGCAAACTGTAATCCACATTTATTTAGCTGGTCCTCACCTTCACGGGACCTGACTTCACTGGCGGATGGAGCCTGCGAGCCAGATGGTACACACCACTAGGAATTCTAATGAGCAGTTAAACTTGAGGACATCTCTCACCCGCTTCCTCCGACTCCCTGGGGCTAATCTCTCCTGGCCTCATCTCCACACAGAAGGACACATCACAAGATGATGCTGTGAACACAGCTGGCAGAGCTGACCCCTGCTCACCTCACACCGGGTCAGGGGCCCAGCTGTCTGAGGCCAGAGCTGTGTCTTTGTCTTAGGATCTTGACTTTCAACCCCATGGCTTTTTCTTCCTTGCCTATTCTAGAGGTAGCTATGAAAAACAAGAAACAAAAACATACTCTGTTCTTGGCTCAGTTGAGATAAGGCTGGCATTTCAAAAAATAAAAGATCTTTTCTCAAGAACTAAGCAAAAGGAAACAGAACACACAAAGGAACCCAGGGGATGGATTTAGAATTTTTAGGTTTCTAATTAAAACTTATTTATGCTCAGTTCAGACAGTGTTTCCTAAGATCATGACTTCAGGGCTGGAGAGATATCTCAGTGGGTAAGAGCACTTGCTACGCTCACAGAAGACCCAGGTTCAGTTCCCAGTGCCCATATGGTGGCTCACAATCATTTGCAGCTCCAGTTCCTGACACCTTCTTCTGGACTCTTTCAGGTACGCACATGGTGCACATACATGCAGGCAAGCACTCATGCACATAGAATAAAAATAAACAGAGAAAAAAAAAGACTCTGGCTTCAACTCTGCCCCAAGTGAGCTGTATGAACCCAAGGAGCAAGACTGAGTCCATCCTTAAGTAGAGGTCCCGAGTCCAGCCTTAGGTAGAGGTCCTGAATTCTCCCTTAGGTAGAGGTCCCGAGTCCAGCCTTAGGTGGAGGTCCTTAGTCCACCCTGTGGTATTGTATTCCCCAAAATATTGTGTACCCTAATAAATTTATCTGGGGTCAGAGAACAGACAGCCACTAGATACAGAGGCTAGAAAATGGTGACACTCATGCCTTTAATCCTAGCATTCCAGAGACAGAAATCCCTCTGGATCTCTGTGAGTTCAAGGCCACATTGGAAACAGCCAGGCATGGTGACACACGCCTTTAATCCCAGAAAGCGAAGAGCCTTTAATCCCAGGGAGTGGTGGTAGAAAGCAGAAAGGTATATAAGGTGTGAAGACCAGAAACTAGAAGCTTTTGGCCTGGTTAAGCATTTGGCTGGTTAAGCTTTTAGCTGGTTAAGCTTTCAGGCTTTTTTTTTTTTTTTTGGTTTTTCGAGACAGGGTTTCTCTGTGTAGCTTTGCGCCTTTCCTGGAACTCGCTTTGGAGACCAGGCTGGCCTCGAACTCACAGAGATCCGCCTGGCTCTGCCTCCCGAGTGCTGGGATTAAAGGCGTGCGCCACCACCGCCCGGCTCAGCTTTCAGGCTTTTAGCAACAGTTCAGCTGAGACCCATTTGGATATGAGGACACAGAGGCTTCCAGTCTG